TTATGTTAGGAGGTGGAAGACTAGAAGAATGTGACAAAGAGGAGGAAGGGAAAGAATAGAACAACTATATACACAATTTGAGATTTTTCCTAAGGGGAAAGAATTCAATGCTTCAGTAAGGAAGCAGCTTCTTGTCCTCCAAGGAATGATAAAAGAGTGCCACAGAAGCTATCAGGTGAGAGATCATGCAGCTGAAGCTATTCAGTGACCTGATAACAACACTGAAGATGTCTGCTTTCTTTCTGGCATGTGGATGCAAGACATAACAAAGAACCTCTTAAGACCCGTCAAAGTGGAGAACTATTGGTGACCCACTTGGCTACAAATCATATTACCAGAAGAAATCCAGAAAGTATTGCCCAAGAGGATGATGTGCCCTAGATTTGAAGAGAGCAGATTTCAAAGGGAGAGGAAAAACAGGTAGGATTCCATGGACTAAAATTCTACAGAAAGTCAGCTTGAGAGGAATAGGAAAGGGGTAGCTGGTGGCACAGTGGATAAAGTACTGGGCCTTGAGTCAGGAACACTGAATTCAAATCTGCCTCAGAGACTTATTGTGCGACACTGGACAAGCCATTTCACCTTTGTCTGACTCAGTGTCCTCAAATGTAAAAAAAAAGGATAATAACAGTACCTACCTTTGCAGGGTTCTTGTGAGGGTCAAATAAGATAATATTAAACACAATGCCTGGTACATAGTAAGTGCTACATAAAAGCATATTCCCTCCCTTCCCCCTATAATGAATCAGATATATGCATAAACAATCAAATAGGTTAGGGGGAGAGAACCATGTAGATATATTAGTAAATAATTTTTTTTTTTGGTTGGGGAGTGGGAAAGACAGGAAAGGCTCCATATCGGAGGTAACACAAATTGAATTTTTAAGTGAACCAGGTATTCTAAGAAGTAGAGACCACAAAAGAGTATTTTGTAGTACTTTGCAGGCATGGGGGAGAGTCTATGCAAAGACATTGATTTGGGAAATGGAATATTGTGTATAAATAATAGCAAATAGGATATTTTAGCTTGTAGTAGACTGCATGAAGGAGAACAATTAGGAAGAGGTCTAGAAAAATAAGTTGGAAATAAAATATAAAGGGATGCCAAACAGAAGAGACTGCATCCTGGAAGCGATAAGGACCTTTGGAAACTTGAGCAGCACAGTGACATCTGGCTCAGTATGGTGCTTTAGGACATTTTGGCAACTGTGTGAAAGATGGGATAGAGAGGGCAGAGACTGGAGGCAAGTAGATCAACCAGCAGGCTAGTGCAATACAGAGAGGGATAGAAATACTAAGACTAGATACACTGTTCTGGGAGTTATCAGCACAGATGTAATTAAACTCCTGAGAGGTGATGAGATCACTGAGAGGGTGGAGAGAGGAGAAGGCCCAGTACAGTGCCTTCAAGCATGCCTACATTTAGGGGAAAGGATGATACCGCAAAGAAAATAGAGAAAAAAGAGAAGAACAAAGACAGAAGTGTCACAAAAATCTAGAAAAGCAAGAGTATCCTGGAATGAAGGAAGATCAACTAGCATCACATGCTCCAGAGAAGTCAAGAAGGAAAAAGAATGAGAAAAGGCTACTCGTCTGGATGTCTCAGAGAGCAGTGGTTACTTTGGAGAAAGCAGTTTCTGCTGAGTAAGAACTTTTAAAATAAATGTGCAGAAGATGGGAGCTTGGGCAGGTAACAGAGTATGTGTAAGAACATTGCATTGTCATATTAAAACAATGCTAAATCTTAGAATGAGTTGAGGCAGGTAAGGCGAGATAGGGATAACAATACTTTTTTTTTGTTTTGTTCTGAAAAAGCTGTACTGGGTGACAGGTGAAGAAAGACTGCTGCTTTGGGAGGGCTGTGTGTGGTTAACTACAAGAGACAGAACACAAAGCTGATCAATTCTTACTTTGATATGCCACATAAGTAAGGAGATGATGAGAGAGCACTTAGTTGCCCTTGGTGAATTCATGTCTCCCAGCCCCGGTGAATTATAACCTCAGTTCCTGAGAATTGGGGGATGTAATGGATAATCCACTATCATAGATTTCTGGAAAACCACTGAGGACAGAAAAGGTTCCTATCATGGGACCAAGAGGCAAATACTGAAGTTTTCAAAACAAGAAAAAGAACCGAATTGGTAACCTATGCCAGATATTCTGCCCAATTCCATTTCTGCCAAAATTCTAGACTGGATTATACAAGAAATGTATAGCAAACATCCAGAAAAACAAGAAGGGAATGCAAACAGCCGGTATGGCCTCATTAAGAACAGGTCATGCCAAAGTAACCTTATTTCTTGATAGGGTTAATTAAACTGGATGATCAGAAGACTGCTGGCAATATGATTTGTCTAGATTTCAGCAACACATTTGATAAAAATGTCATGCTATTCTTGTGAAAAATGGACATGTGGACCACATGATAAATATAATTGGATAGATTCATAACTAGTTGAATGGCTGGACTCTAAGATTAGTCACTAAATGATTAATTATCAACTTTAAAGGGAGTTCCCAGTGAGGTGCTCTAGATGTGCATGGCAGCCTTGTGTTCAACATCTTTACAAATGACAAGGATAGGATACCCATCAAATTTTTAGATGATAAACTTTTGTCAACTTCAGCTAATATACTGATCATACAGTCAGGATCCAAAAAGATCCTGACAGAGTAAAGTAATGGTCTGAATCTAGTAAGACAGAATTCAAGAGAAATAAATGTAAAGTCTTAGAGTTGGGTTCAAAAATTCAACTTCACAAGTACAAGATGTGGAAAGCATGGTTATACAGATGTTTGTCCGAAAAAGAACTGTAGGCTTTAGTAGAATGCAAACCTAATGTACCTCATCAGCATGACATGGCAGCAGCCAACGTAATGCTACGCTGGGCTTCAATGAGAGGAACAGCTTCAAGAAATGAGGTTATTACCCCCTTGTACTCTGACCTAGCAGGAAAAAAATTCCTAAGTTACACAGAGTTGAGAGGAGAGCAACACGGAAGGTGAATGGCCTTGAGTCTTTGTCACATGAAGATGGATTGAAAAGAGCTGGAGATATTCAGCATGGAGAATAAAGGGTACTGGGGAGAAACAATACTGGTGTGCAAGTATGTGAAAGGCTGTAATGAGGAAGAGAAGTTTTTCTTAATTCTGTCTGGCACCACAGTGGGTAAAAATGGCAAGAAGAGAAATAGAGGATTGATGACAAGGAGAACTTCCTGACAATCTGAGCTATTCAAAAATGGAAAGGCTATCTTTGGAGGTGATGGGTTCACCTCCAATCATTCAAACTGAGGCTGGACTACCATTTGCTGAGAATGTTATTTTAAGGATTGATTACCTTTCATATAATGGGTATGGACTAGTGGAATTTGGCCACTGTGATATCTAAGGTATTATTAGTATAGCAAAAAACCCTCTAAGATTCTTAATGACAATACTGAGGGTGGAAGTGCGCTGAAAATTATGGCCATAACCCTCCCCTCCTTTTTTCCCCTGATCTCAAAACAGTTTAATATTATAAAAAAAAAAGAGTAATAATCTTTTGACCTATTTTCACACACAAGCGATAAAATATTTTTTTGCCCCCCAAAATGAACTATCCTCTAATAATATCTAAAAGCTGACCTTTCCATGAACTTCATTGCAGTTATAAGTTTAGCAGACAATATCAGTGAAGGTTGGTATTATAAAACAAGCAAAATAAACACAAAAGAAAAAAGCAACAGCCACTATCCACGAATTACTATTTTTCTATATCAAGAAATATGTTTATAATCCCTCACAAGGCATACGGAAAGAGTGCTGGAGTCAAGAAGAGCTGGTTCAGCTCCAGTATCTAAAGTTTATGAGATGTGTGACCACTGCCAAGTCACGTAACCTCTTTAAGGTTCAGTCTCCTCATATATAAAATAGGGATAATGCCATTTATCTCACAGGGTTGTTAAGGATCAAATGAGAATATAAGTCAAGTGCTTAAAAGACTCCCTGAATCTTAGCTACTATATTATTATGTGTCATTAGACCGGGATAGGTGAATTGAGGGGGATTTTATGGAGTTCTGGAAGGAGTGAGAGGGTGTCTGAATAACTACTAAGTGCAGGAGAACAAGTCGGGCATAGAGAGGAGTGCTCCTGGAAGCAGAAATAGAAAAGTGGATGACAGAATGTCTGTGTGAATAAAGCATAAGGATAGGGAAGGAAAAGGGCAGATTAGAACATTAAAAATCTAGTGCAAGCAGAAAAAGAGCTTGAGAGTAATGGTAAGTAGCTTCATTTTAGTGGAAGACGATAAGGATGACATTAGAAGCTTTAGGGAAAAAAAACTGGCAAAGACAATTTTTGTAGTGCAGGGCTCTGCCTTGATAAAAGTATTGGAAGTAAGGAGACTAGAAAGTCAGTTGTCTGCTCTACTTAAGAATTTTACTTACTATGTTCAAGAAAAAACCACAACTTTCCTATACTTTAAAAAGAAGATCCATTCTTTTTAGGAATGTTTGTTTTGAAAGAATGAGATGACTTTGTTCGTCAAAAACACTTAAGCTTTGAGTTACTTCTCTTAGTATTGAATTCTCTCTAAGACTTACATAGAACTGTTTATGCTTCAGTCACCTAATGTCTTAGTCCTTATGACACAGCTAAGAAGTGAACTGCTGATGGCAATTATAGTATAGTTAAAGCCCAAACTCAGAGTAAAAATGCTATTTTGGAAAAAATAAGCAATAGTAAAATTATGACCATTAGCATCATTCAAAATCTGCACTTATTAGGTCTTGAAGTGTTTGAGTCAAATTGAAATCAAATGAATGACCCAAACTTATATTTTAGAATGGAGAAAACTCTTTTTTTGGGGGGGGAAGGGAGGTTTGGGGAGGATAAGCAGAAGGGGAGGATAATGTGAGTGAAAAAGATACTGGATAAAAAAAAAAAAAGTTCCTCCAAGAAATTTAAAAAAAAATTGATAATAAGATAATTTTTAAAATTATATATTGTCCAGCTTACTTTTTTGGTTTTCTGGAAGTAGAGCTCAGGAAAAGCATGAAACCAGTAAGCCAGCTGTGATATGTAGAAAAACTTCATTTGAAATCTGTACAACACAAGAAAGTGAAATAAATACTTTAAAAACATAATATATTTAAGGAATACAGAATAGAACAAATATTGGAAGTCAGGGTCAGTCATAGGGTTATCTATCATACCATTCCTTATTGTATTTATATTACATATATACAACAGGGAGTGGTGTGATTAGAAGGATACCTTTCAATACCCTACTGACCCTCAAAACAGATCCCGACAAGCCACTTTCCTCACAAAACAGGCCTGAAATCCCCATCTTTGTAGTCCTTTTTTAGGCTTACTGAACAAAAGAAAGGACACTATCTCTGTAGGTCTACCAGTTACCATACAAATTACCACAAAACAAATCCAGCCTTTTTTATTAGTACATAAACACTGGTTAGTTTATCAGGGCAGCTAGTTGGAAAGCACAAAGAAACTAATGCTGAAGGGATGAGACACAGACTTAGTTTTGGGATAGGAGGGAAGGAAGGAGAAGATCCTTGCAACAAGAGGAAGGCAGCAACCAGAGGAAGGAAAGCAAAAGGAGTATGTATACCCAATGGAAACAGAGTGGAGCAGCATTAGGGTACAGAGTGTAGATTTGCAAATTTTAGAAAAGATACAAATAACAGGCACTTTTGAAGGCCTATAAGAACCCAAGGATAAAATGCAGTTGACATTTATTTAAAGAGTACTATCTCTTAAAGAAAAAAAAAAAAGGACTCAATGCAATGGGCATTTCAGCAAACATGGATGCAAAGACATACTTCTATAGCTCCTTTTTTGATTTTTACATCTCTCCTTCTCTACCCACCCATCCCCACTTGTTAGGGCAATTATTAGGGAATACTTCTATTTGTCAAGTACTGTAAATTATATAAAAAAGAAATGTAAGAGACATTCTCTGCTCTCAGGGAACTTTGGAGTCTATTGAGTGACAAAACTGACATAAGTTAAAAAAATCAGAGAAGCATACTGGACCGTATGTAACTAACTTTTAAAATGAATGGCACAGGATATAAGGGTGATGAGAATTCAGAGAAGGAAGAAGTCATGATGGGAAAAGGATTGTGGAAGAGGGACTGATTTAAGCTTAAAAGATGAAAAAGAAATATGAAGAAGGAATGAATGGATCAAAGCTAAAGAGAAAAAGGCAAGAGGATAGAGAAGAAAGCAAAGAAGAGGAAGTGAAAAAGTAAGAATAAGAATAAAGGCAAGAAGAATATAATAAAAGGGACAAGTGTAAGGAGTACTGAGCCAATTAACATTTGCTGCTTTTTCATTTGACAGAACTATTTTCTTTAATCAATAAAAGCAAACTAAAAAAAACTTACGTCATCATGGTAAGGGGGTAGGACTTCCACAGTATAGCTGGATCTGAGATGAAGTTCTCCTAAGACAGTATTGACATAAAAATTAGCCGATAGAAGATAACTCAAAAATAAAGTAGAAAACTTATTTTCATTTCTTTGATACCCAAATCCCATCACATCCAGTGATGAAATAAAGGGACTAAACTACTCCTAAAGTTTATGACTTTAAGGTTAAGTAGGTGCTCAAGACAGTCAAAATTTTTTGTTGATGTGTTAAAATAATATTCTAGTACAGGGGTGAGAAACCTGCAGCCTCGAGGCCATTACTGGCCCTCTAGGTCCTCAAGTGCGGCCCTTTGACTGAATCCAAATTTCACAGAACAAATCCTATATAATCAAATAGTTATCTAAAATACATAAACAATATTATTGATTTGTTGGTGGTCAAGCTAGCTAGCATTTATTTGAAAAAAGAAAAACAGTTTAAATTTTATTATAAGATATCTGATCTTATTTTTACTGAGCAGTTATCTCCTGATAGTCCAAGAGAAAGATGATTTGTTCTGATAAATATTTATGACGATAGAATTCCATTTTAATAAACTTGACAAAACATGAAAACTATGCAGTGTAGAGAGGAAAGCATATCAGTTATAAGTTGTTTGCTCTTGCTAACAGATTCCAAATTCAGGATAGCTCCATTTTCACTTCCTGGACTTCCTAGACTCTCCCACTGCAGATACCCTGGGCTCAGGACCTATCCTATTTTAAGCCCTTTCTTAAATCTGTAAAAGAAAAATTTTGCAATATTTACCACCTATCGTTCTATTAAAATAGGCCAAAAAAAAGAGAGAGAATTAAAAAAAACCTTTTCACTGAATTAAATATTGACATACCAAAAATGTAAATATCAAAACAATGTCTTTGTAGACTGACTCCCATATGGACTGGTAAAAACATCTGGCACACAAGAAATTTTATTTAACAGAATTCATTGTAAATCAACAAAACACTGTTCCTATGAACTTGTATGCAGAATTAGTCTCCAAATGTCTTCATTAATTTGAGAGTCTACTTTTATTAATTTTGTGGAAAGTATTATTAAAGCAACCAATTGATAACAAATGGAGGGAGATAATGGACTACAAAAAGTAGAAAGGAAATGCATTTTTAGTTGATGCAACCTCCACATTTACCTTGAAAGTGTTAAAAATGGCTTTGTTTCTTTAACCAAAACAACTTTTCACCAACAGCCTACCAATCTTATTTAATCTAATGCAAAAATCTAACTCTCATATATCCAAAGCACACTTTAAATAAAAGTGCCATTTTCCTAACTGTAATGGTTTTAGAAAAACCTAACTTCTAGATCATAGTTTAACAAATATCTGTGGAAGATGATACATTTTGAGAAAAAAACATTAATAGAAACAAATGCCTTTAAAATAAAAGTTCTTACTTTTTCCATTAGTTAGAATGATATAAGCAAGGTTCTGGTTGTACTCTTTGAAAAAGCATGCAATATTTTTAAAGCTCTCTGGAAAGTGCTTCGACTGGCTGGCTTTATTTGTGGGAAATGGCTGAAAACATCTCACCCTTGGGCACCAGCAGTATTAAAGTCATTGCTATCTTAAAAATCTTTTTTGCTAATACAGACACTGCCTGCAAGTGAATACAAGAGATAAACATATTTTTCCTGATTCAGGGACCATAAATGTAGTATATGACATGCTAAACAAAACATCACAAAACAAACTAATCACAGCATGGAGTTTACAACAAATGCATCACCTCGAATTCCACATTCATAGCAGATTATAGCACTCCTGATCTCCACCAAATAGTTTAGTTGGGGGAAAGGTAAAAATTCAGATTTTCAGCAAAACAAAATTCATTTATAGACTGGAGGACAGTATTTAAATAGGATACTTTCTACTTGGTGTTTAAATCATGAGCTTTTTGGATATGACAATTTTAGCATAGGCAATACTTACAGACACTAGAATGCTTGTACCCCAAATACATGAAAAAAGGTAGAATGCACTAAGTTGACCAGATTCATTAAACTTGCTGTGTTTCGTTTTGGAGAAGTGCATTCGCCTGTTAATTTTCTAAAAATAAAAATAGTCATTAATAATTATTAGAAATCCAAGTATCTAACAAGTTCATTTCATAATGCTTTACACTACCTCAAAGAAAGCCACACAAGGTACTTACATCTAAGATGTATTCCTGAATTATGGCATGAATAATTATTGCTACCAGCATGTAGAAGAAAACGGTAGCCAAATCTTTGATGCCATAGTAATAGAAAGAAAGGGTTTCAGTTGCACGGTCTTCTGAAGATCAAAAAGAAAACCAAACAAAAGTACATGTTGAGATTGTTAATTAAGGTTAGAACTCTGTACAACACAGTTTTATGGAAACGATAAAAAAAAAAAAAAAGAATTAAGTTTTAGTAATTCCCCAGAGTAATCTGCTCCGAGGGGGAAGTCTGAATAACAAAGCTTCAGAAGCAATTACAGCTTTGATCTGAGAGAAAAACTCAATTTCATCTGTAAAGGTCTTTATGATACTATGTAAGAAAAAGATAAGAGTTAAATTAACGTAAGCATCTCTGATTATGTTTTTGTTTTGTTTTTTGCTTCTTGGTGAGGCAACTGGGGTTAAATGACTTGCCCAGGGTCACACAGCTAGTAAGTGTCAAATATCTGAAGCCGGATTTGAACTCAGGTCCTGCTGACTTGATTACTTTAAATAGTACTTGTCAATTACCATAATTAAAAAAAAAATAAACCAATTCTAATCAAACAATAAATACTATATTCCTTAATATCTTTCCCGTAGACTTCTTATTTTTCCCTTTTATTCTGCTTAGCTAAATTCATTAGAGACAGTTTTTAGTTTTTTATGATCATGAGGTCTAATCACATGGTTATTACACTGAAGATTTCTAAAAAAACAAAAATGACCCTTAAGTTCTTTTTTGTATGTATTCAAGGAGTGATGTGAAAAATTGTACTAACGGGCAGCTAGGTGGTGCAGTGGATAGAGCACCAGCCCTGGACTCAGGAGGACCTGAATTCAAATCCAGCCTCAGAACATTGCCTCACAAAAAATTGTATTAATGCTCATTCTCCATCCACAGCATCTACTATTACTTTAAATTTCCACTTCCTTCTAATAAAGCTTTACTAAAAAAAAAAAGTTTTAACTTTAATGGAATATTTTAGGAAAAATACTACTTTCTGAAATGGAAAAAGTAATTTAGGTGGTAATACAAGATAATGCAGGCAATCACTAAGCCTACTATTTATTCTGAACTAATTTTTTTTTAATGTAGAACACCTTGAGAATGAATGTTAAGCTCAAAATCTTTATTCCTTCAGGCCCTGAACTATATAATCTGAATGACAAACATGATCCAAACTCTTACATTATTATACTTGGGGGCAGGGGGATGTGAGTTGATTTGAGGTTTACATTTCAAGCCCCAAACTAGAAAAACTGCAAGATCACTTCTATACAGAGATACACAAGCACTTTATACAAGTAAGTGTAAAATTAGTAAGTATATACAAAATAAATTTGAAAGAATGAATGCTCATTATGGATTCTTAAGCTGCTCAATAAAAAAATTTAAATAATTCAAGCACTGAAAACACAAAGACTAATTTCTATACAATATACTACTGGGGGATGCCAGTCAAAAATTATGGATTTTGAACTACAACATGAACATCAATAAACTAGAGTTCCTTCCTACTAATGAAGGTATCTGTAAAGATTAAAGCAAAAGCAAGAGTGTAAAGAATTCTCAACGCTACTTTGTGCTCTGCTCACCACAATAACAAGTTCTAAAAGGTACTTACCTGTGGCTGGAATGGTAACATTGTATTGAAGAGTAACAAAAATAACTGCTGCTTTTGTTGTAATCTGAAAGAAATAAAAAAAAAAATTGAGACAAACCAGAGTGCTGAATCAGCTTGAAGAAGCTGACATACGCCCATCAAATACATCCTCCTAAATCCAAACTAGGGAGGAAAGGGATTATGGTGATGCTCTAATCCTTAGATACAGAAGCAGGTGGGGGCAGTCAGGTGGCACAGTGGATAGAGCAGTGGCCCTGGAGTCAGGAGGACCTGAGTTCAAATTCGGCCTCAGACACATAACACTCACTAGCTGTGTGACCCAGGGCAAGTCACTTAATCCCACTGACTAGCCAAGAAGAAGAAGAAGAAGAAGAAGAAGAAGAAGGCAGGAGGCTTGGTGTAATGTACACAGGACTGAAGAGCAGCAGTTTCCAAACTCCACAGGAGATGATCCACTACAGTACCAGGGAGAAATTAGAACTTTTATTTCCTCTTTATCCAAAAACAAAGAAAAGAAATTTAAACTTCATTAATATTTAACATACAGACTGGCACTGGCAACCTAACTCAGTCTATACGTCACATGTCACAGATGGTCCACAAGGGTATCCTAAGAGAAGAAAGGGAGTTCTGCACCATGGAGGGGGTGACAATGATGCCTTCACCTGTTCCTTAAATTATGGCTTCTCTGTACCTGGTTAAGTGGATTTACAGACCACATTATCTAGTTTTAACTAAAACTTCACAAAACGGAGAAGTGCCTTGAAGAGATACTTGTAAAACAACAACAATGTGGACTTGAGATAACAGTAAGCTGACACATCTCCCACTCCTAGTACAGACTTTTTCGGCCACATTATGAGGTCAAAATAATGATGACCTAATCAGACCTAACAAGAAATTGACAAAAAATTAAAAAAAAATCAAAATCATCAAAATGGGTTTGTATCTGCTATTGTTAATAATGAAATTCTTGCTTAATGTATATTGCGCCATCATGTTTAATTAACAAGGTGCTTAGAAATTAAACTTTTGTGCTAAAAAATAAATGTAAGTGCATTACCTACAAATTCTCAGGTCGACGCATAAGCTTGGAGACAGAATTTTTTTAACCTTCTTACAAATCTTCCAAATAGTTTCTGCAGGTTGTGAACTGGCTTGTTAAAAATCCAATCAGTTTCTGAGAAGAACTGAATAATATCATGGAAGAGGGAAATATACTAGCTGGATTTCAACATAAACCTTAGTATAATTGGTGGATAGGACTGAATTATTATCATCATGATTTGTAAAGTGCAGCTAATGATACACTTATTCCATATGGATCCATGTATCTTTGTGAGGTATCTTTTCCAGTTATGAGTCATTAAAACTAAATACTGGAATGAATACCTGACCTTTAAATTGCTGTATCACAAAATATGAAATAAAGATTTTGAAAAAAAGAATATTCAATCACTGTTCTCACGAAACAATTTTTAGTGAGAGCAAAAGATTCTGTGTTGTTAAATTAAAAATTATTGTAAATTATTATTTTTCTTTCATTCATTTTAATTTGTTTTTATACGCTTTTTATTTAAAAGGCTCTGTGATTACATGGATTCAATTCAATAAATGTTTTTTATTAAGCACCTACTACGTACCAGGCATTATGCTAAGTGCTGCGGATACAAATAAGAAGAAATTCAGTCCCCACTCTCGAGGAACTCACAAGCAATGGGGGAAGACAACACCCCAAAACAAGCTCAAAAGGTGGGGGGTGGGGGGGTACCACCAGGGGGTACCTGGCACAGGGCCATCTTGTTCCCAGGAGCTGAAACCAAGCAGAGCTGAAGATTGATGGGGAGTGGATAGACTCCAGAGTTCCTTCCAGTAATGTAGGTTGTCTCCCAGTCCTGCACACCCATTCTGGGCACCTCTTGTCTGTGTCCTCCTTTAAGTTTGCCATCCTTGCTCTCTCCCAACATCCCAAAGATACCAGAGGAACACTGGCTATCTGCCTATTGTCACCTTTTGTCATGTGACCAGCTCAGTCTTCTCATCATACAATTCCTCAATGACACCTTTTACTCCTGTTATTATAAAGAGCTTCAAAGAACAAGTTGCAGTTTGCTCACATCCACCAGGCACCTCTCCACTGCCCACTGGGTGATATTCATTTTGAATTCTTCAGGTGGATATATTCCATCTCTTGCTGTCATAGAACACCGGGAGACAGTTGACAATGAAAAGATGGACCTTGCTTTCACAGGAAGCTTGAGATCAGTGAAGCTTTGCTAAGTCCTCAAAAGCAATCTTCTCCTCTTTTTCTGCCCCCATTCGCGCCCAACACCTTGTCCACATCTGTACAGTCTGTTTCAGATACTGCCACATAAGCTCTATAATGCACTCATCAAAATGCATGTTGAAATTTGGGCAAGAGATATTCCTTATCTACTTGGTCTTTCCTGTGTGGATGGAGAGGTCAAACTCCTACAGATCCCTTGCAAGAGGCTCTACAATGTTTTGGGACATGATGCATGATCCACACAATGTCATCTGCAAATAGGAATATCTGGAAGACCTCTCTATCCATACGAAGTAATTCCTCTTTGACCTGAACTCTACTCTGTATCTTGTTTACAGTGATGAATAGCTTTAGTGAGCATGTATGCCTACTTCATGCTTTACCTGATGTGTACTATTAGCAGGTCACCGAACAGGGTTATTTCTGTTATATCTTCTATGGAATCTTGAATGATTTTGATTATGGGAGACACTTTATTGTAAAAGAGTCTACAGTAGATATATTATGAATGGTAGTTATTAACATCCTTTCAGCTGCCCTTTGAAGATGCCACAATCATCCACTGCATCCTGGGCTATCACCAGGAGTCCTAACTTTTGTCTTGCCACTGGACTTCAATGACTCTGGAAGACAGAGTGAAGCTAAGGATTTGCTCAACTCCACCTCACTTAAATCCAATTCACGAGCAAGTCAAGATATCACTCATTTGTGATGTCTTCTTCCAAAAGGAAAATGAAAGATCAACAACAACAACAACAACAACAACAACAACAACGGTACAAGGTCTAAGATTTTTTTCCCATGCCTTCAGATATATCCTCACAATTGTTTTACCTCCAATATAAATATGTTTTGGTCCAACTTGGGTTTCTCTAACATGCTATGTTTTATGGCATGTATAACATAGTAGTAGAATAGTACATGTATAAAATTTATAAATAAGTACATGTATGTCAGGAGTAAATACTTTAAAAAAAATGTTTTAACACAGGGATATGGGACCAAAAGTTTGGAGACTAATGTTACAGAAGATAAGAAAACCAGCCTTGGATTCAGAAAACATTAGGTTCGGCAGTTTTCAGATGAAGAAATTAAAGCTATCTATAGTCATATGAAAAAATGCTCTAAATCACTATTGATTAGAGAAATGTAAATGAGAACAACTCTGAGGTACCACATCACATCTATCAGATTGGCCAACATGACAAAACAGGAAAATGATAAATGTTGGAGAAGATGTAGGAAAATCGGAACACTAATGCATTGCTGGTGGAGTTGTGAACTGATCCAAACATTCTGGAGAGCCATTTGGAACTATGCCCAAAGGGCTATAAAAATGCACATACCCTTTGACCCGGCAATATCACTTTTTAGGTATGTATCCAAAGAGATCATAAAAATGGGAAAAGGATCCACACGGACAAAAATATTTATAGCAGTTCCTTCTGTGATGGCAAAGAACTGGAAATTGAGGGGATGCCCATCAATAGGGGAATGGCTGAACAAGTTGTGGTATATGAACGTGATGGAATACTATTGTGTTATAAGAAATGATGAGAAAGCAGACTTTAGAAAAACCTGGAAAGACTTGTATAGACTGATGCTGAGTGAAATAAGCAGAACCAGGAGAACATTGTACACAGTAACAGCCATGTTATAAGATGACTAATTTTCATAGATTTGGCTCTTCTTAGCAATGCAAGGATCTAAGACACCTCTAAAAGTCTCATGATAGAAAATGCTATCCATATCCAAGGAAAAAACTATGGAATTTGGATGCAGATGGAAGCATACTATTTGCTCTTTTTTTTTCTTCTGTTTTGTTTTGTTTCTTCTTTCTTGTGGTTCTTATTGGTTCTATTACAACATGACTAATGTGAAAATATGTTTAACAAAAACGTGGAGCCTATATCAGATGGCATGCTGTCTTGGGGAGGAAGGGGGAGAAAATTAAAAACTCAAAAGCTTATGAAGTGATTGTTGAAAATTAAAAATAAATTAATTTTAAAAAAAAGGAAAAAAGAAAAAAATACTAGGTCCAAGTCTTTTGACTTAGACACATATTGGCTATGTAACCTCAGACAAGTCACTTAACATCTTGTTGCCTCTTAACAAAACTTAATACTCTCTCATAGACATTTTCTTTAATGAGGCTTCTCCAAACCAAATAACAATAGGTCTCTACCTTCCACCTGCAGAAAAAATGTAGGAAGCACCAACTCTCAGACCATACGATACCAGTAGACATAATTAGTGACTCCTGATCACTACAGGAAGAGGGTTAAGCACTTCCTTACAGTTCAATAGAGCAGTGAGAATTTCCTAATTTACTATAGTAAGCAGCCCTTGTCCAAAAGGCATAACTTGGTTATTATTATTCTCTAGTTTCCTAAACTTGCACAGAAATTTAAAGAATGTAATCTTGAGGATAGATGTAATTTTGTTTTTGTCTTTTCAGTCTTGGAGACTAGCAAAGTATCTTCTAACCATCAGGTATTTCATTAATGACCATTGAATTTCCTGCTAAAACAAATTTTAACATGAAAGTTTAAAGGAAAAAGTGGGTTACATAAAAGAGTTTGGAGGAAGAAGTTATAAAGAAGTATCCTCGGGCCGGTTGGTGGCGCAGTAGATAGAGCACTGGCCTGGGATTCAGGAGGACCCGAGTTCAAATCCGGTCTCAGACACATAACATTTACTAGCTGTGTGACCTAGGCAAGTCACTTAGCCCCACTGCCAAAAAAAAAAAAAAAGTATCCTCTGTCTAAACTACTTAA